TATATACTACTTTTCCATCTGTTGTAGATACAATTGTATCTACTGTTGGAAATACTATTTAGTGGTGTGCTACTGTGTATCTCTTGCCAGCTCTGTGTTTAGTGACTTCATGTTGGGAGACTGAAATTGACCAGGGCAGGAGCATTTACACCATGGAAATTGGCAAATGCTGTATAAGTCAGGACCTCTCTATCCCCCTCCTTCAGGCAGTTGTTAAACATTTAAGAGCACACCACTGGTTTAGGGGCTTAAATGAGTTAATAGATGTGCCTGGCGTGTGCAAAGCGATGTACAGTGCACCTATTATCGTTATTATTTTCTTCTCCTTCATCCGGAATTGTTGCGTGTGCAGACAGGAATTGGGCAAAGCCGTCAACCAGCTATGTTTTCTTTCTCTCTCCAGTTTGCCCAACCATCTGTAAGTCACACGGCTGCACCGCCGAAGGCCTTTGCTGTCACAGCGAGTGCCTGGGCAACTGTTCCGAGCCCGACGACCCCACCAAGTGTGTGGCCTGCCGCAACTTCTACCTGGATGGCAGGTGCGTGGAGACCTGCCCGCCCCCGTACTACCACTTCCAGGACTGGCGCTGTGTGAACTTCAGCTTCTGCCAGGACCTGCACAACAAATGCAAGAACTCGCGGAGGCAGGGCTGCCACCAGTATGTCATTCACAACAACAAGTGCATTCCGGAGTGTCCCTCTGGCTACACGATGAATTCCAGCAAGTGAGTCCTGGGTGTGGGTCTTGCAGGGGGGAGGCAGCAAAGAGGAGAAAGAATGTGGGGTGGGGGGTGACAGTGCTGCCCATTAAAACTATGTGCAAAAACAGAGTTAACTGGCTATGAGTGAGGTTGCTGGTCTCAGATGCTATTTTTGCCCCTTGTTTTGGTCCTGGGCTTTGGAGCAGGGGTCAATAACCTCTTTCTCTAAAGGGCTAGATAGTAAATATTTCTGGCATCTTGTACACCAGTTCTAAGCTTTCCCAGCTTCAGAACAAAAAAAAAACATAAAAGAAGTCATTGGTTTCCCCTAAAATCCTCCACGTGGCTTGTCCTCACTGATGTAGCCGCATTATCCTTATAACAAGAATGTAGCTGAGGTTTTTCACGTCTTCCCCAATCTATAGCTGGGTGGTGTGCCCAGATTAGCCCCGAACGTAGTGTCTCAAGGAGGAAGAGACGCATCGCTACATAATTTCCAGGGCTTTGGTGTTCTTTGAAGGGTAGTGCAGTCTAACCGTTTCCCACCATCTGGGTGAGAAATAGCAGAGTTTTCTCTCTTTGGCCATGAGTCAGATTTCCTACGCACATCGCAGACTTTTTGTTCATGTTGTTGGCTTCTTAGATGAGCTATTTTGGTGTCTCGGGGCCATAACTGAGTTTAAAAAATCTGTTTCCTGGTTTTTGTGTTGAGGTTAAAAAAAAAAAGAAAACACACCACAAAACAACACAAAAACAAATCAGAAACAGACACACGTCGAGAGGCCTTGAGCTGACCTGCTTACGTAAAAAATCTTCCTCTTCAGACTTGAGAATTAGCCAAGCGAGCATGTTCTGGTGGGAAATTATATTTCCCTGGGTGGAGGGGGTGGGAAGGAAAAACAATCTTTAATTTCAGTTCTTAGGAGGTTCTCTTCTCATGTTTGTGCAACCTGTAAGTACAATATGTTTCATTTTACTCATTTTTGATAAAAACCTATCAAGTGGCTTTGTTGACCCAAAATAATCCTCTATAAAATCACCTTTGCACGCCAGACAGAACTTTTTTTTTTTGAAAGGGGGAGTGGCACCAATTTATTAGTAAGGTTAGGAAAATGACCATATTCCTTTTGATTCATTTCTTTTTCCCCCCCCCCAACATTTGAAATAAAGAGTGAGTATTATTGTCTCCCAGTGAGATGTTTGTTTAAAAGATATTGGCCTTAAATGAAAGGCATTTTTCCCTTATCATGACAAAGACCTGAGAAATGTCACAACCTCCTTTGATATTCTTGCTTATGGTATAGTAGACCCTGGAACAACAAAAAAACAAAGCAAAACAAAAAACCCTAAGGAATTGATAGCACATCCTGTGATGCCTGGAACCTTCATTGAAAGGAAGAAAAAACAAAGTGAGAGATGCTAGTGCTGATGTATCATGGCAGTGTTTTACTTTTTAGATTTTTTTAAAAATGTAATATTTTTACTTCTGAAGCTTTCCTTTTATTTTATGAAAGACTGTATAGTACTGTTGCATTTTGCTAATGTGGTTTGACATCAAATAAGGCCAGATATGTTTTCTTCCATTCTGGTTGCTTATCTGGACATAGTTCTTGAAGTTTTCAGAGCAGAGTTCTGGGAACCCACATGGTTTCATTAAAAGGTCCCGCTGTCTGTCTACC